CAAGCAGCGGCCTGCCGGCAGGCCGCCTCTGGCTGCGAGGGTTGCAAGGCGCTGCGGGGGCGTCTTCTCGCGCGACCTCCCGCCCAGACGTGGGTGGTGGGAAAGGCGGCGCCCTTCCGTTTGGGGGCACTGGCGCTGCTGCCGCCGACGCCGGGGGGAGGGGCGGAACCTTCGCGCGCACAGTCGGCAGCAATCTGCAGCGCCAGGTGGATACGCTTGCGCGGGCCGTGCCTGGCGCTTCGCACGGCCAAAACCCTCCCGCCTGTGGCGTGGGGGGCGGCGCTTTCTTAGGTGTTTTCAATTTTCTTCCCGAGCGAGGGCGGCGCGGCGTGTGCGGGGGTGGCGTGTGGGCCCTCCGGCGCGGCGGGGGAGTAGGCACTATACCAATAAGATTTGCCATTGTTATTGTTTTGCTTTCACCAAGAGTGCGGAGATGCCCGGCATTGTCGCGGCTGGGGTGGCTTCTTCCGCGCTGGGTGGTAGGGGCCGGTGGGGCGGCTTCCCGTTACCGAGAGGGGCCGCAAGAACTTGCATTTGCCTTTTTCCCTTTTTTTTTTTTCTGAAATAAGACTTTGTAAAATCTTTTTGGCCGCGTGCTGGGGCCCTCCGATCGGGATGAAAAGTGTGGTCGTGGATTTGAGGACCGAGGAGTCTTACGCAGCGGGCCACGTGGAGGGGGCTTATAGCTTTCCCTGGGGAAACATTCAGATCGATTCTTGTGGGTTTCCGCCGCGCGATGTGGCTCTCACTGCGGTTTGCGATGAGGCAATTGGGTTGGACACCGTTGAGGTGTACTTGAGGCGGTTTTGCTTCGCGTCCTTGGAGGTTCGGCGGCTGCGCGCCACCGAAAAACTTGTACCGGAGGTGCCGCAAGGGACGTGCTGGTCTCCTAACCCCTTTCTTTCCGAGGTGCTGCCTGAAATCGAGGCGGCCAACGGCGGCCCTTCTTTCGCATTGGACGTGGGTTCTGGAGCAGGGAGGGATATGGTTTATCTGGCGTCTCGGGGCTGGAGCGTCGCTGGCATTGAAAACCGCGTCCGGCTGATTAGGCAGGGCGTTGCGCTCAGCAAAAAACATTGTGTTGGGGGACGCGTGCTCTATATACATTGCGATTTGAAAAAAACGTTTCCTATCAAATCTAAAGGCCCAGACCTATTGCACGTATGCCGCTTTTTGCACCGGCCCTCCTTGGCGAAACTGCTTCAGCTTCCTCGAAAAGGAGGATTCCTCGTGTACAGCCATTTCTTAGATGGTTGTCAGAAAACTGAAGTGGGACGCCCCTCGTCGACCAATGGGTTTTTTCTTCGCGGAGAGCTGCGGCAATTGCTTTTGGATTGCGGGTACGCCATTCTTCTTGAAAGGGAAACGCTGTTGTCAGACGAAAGGCCCTTCGTACACATCCTCGCAAGGCGCGAGAAGTAAACCAACCCCCGTACTCGCGGACAAAAGCGGGCGCAGCAGCAACAGCCCCCGAACAAGAACAGGAAAAGCAGACTGCCATTGCAATAATATAGGAGATAATTTTCCTGTCGGCGCCACCCTGTGGAGTGGGTACGGCTGCGTCTGATGTTTTTAGGTGTTCCCTTTGTTCCGAACACAACCGCCGCGCCGCCCGAGCGCCCAAAAAAGCCCCAGAGCAAATAGATACAACGCTGCTAAGAAGTTCTTTTTTTTCTCTCTTTTTTTTTTCTTACCGCGCCGGCCAGCATCGTACAACGCACCTGCCGTGCTGGGCGGATGTGTGCAAAAAAAAAAAAAACCGACCTCACGTGGAGAGGATTGAGCAGAGAAGAACATATTAATCATGCGACGCCGCCGCGCAACACGAACACCGCCGAGCGCCGCCCCCGCAAGGGAGTTTAATCACCGTGTTTGAGCGCTGTTGTCCCTCGCGCTGCCTCTTGAGCTCCTGCCGCGTAAGAGGAGGCCACCCCCCCACCCACCTCCCACACACACACCACCCC